GTTGAAAATAATCTTAGATATTATGGGATATACAATTCAGATGGTATCGCTCTGCAGTGGTACCAACAAAAATTATGATGTGAATTTAGCAGCTTTTTACACGGGCAGAGTGGCGGGAATATTCATCAGAGTATTTGATGAATACAAAATAACTTAATGGAACAAAGCATCGGCATACAGATTCTATCAAGGTTCAGTATTGAAATACTTTTATAAAAATCAACGACTCTTGTACTCTGCTGATAACTTTTCATCTGAATGATCTGTTATTGCCTTAATAATTCTACGAAGACATTCAGAATAAAACGGAACTACTTCAGTTACTTATCACATCAAATTAGAAAAAGTTATCAAGAATCACAGTGTTCAAGAAATTACGAATTCACACAATATAGGAACAACTGAAAATCAAAAATTCAAGGCAAACCAAGATAGATAGATAGAAGTGGAAGGACGACAACCGTTTCGTAGAAATGAAAAACATTGTAATCCTATCAACAATAACAAAGATATACTGGGGAGTATTGAGTTATCGATCTATTATTCCCACAACTGTCATAAGATTCAGTATAGTATTTTTTGGGTCTTGGTTCTCAAGTGAGTTTTATGCGATGAATGAACAAAACATAAATCAATAAAATATAGTCAGGCATTGGATGAGAGCCTGCCCAGAACCTCCTCAAAAAATCACATTCACAAAGGAAGCTGCAGTAGAAAAAAACTGAAACCATCCCACCTCATCTGATGAAATTGAATCAGAATAATTATTGGCTCCATCAGTGTCTGAGAACACTTCATTCTATTGGCGTATCTGCTATTGTTCCCATATGCAGACTCTGCATATCGTGGAGATTGATATAGACTGTTGACTGTTGTGTTAGTTGAATGGGAAAGAAAAGAAATATCTGTGGAAACATCCATTGAACGTCCTATGCACGTGTACTGCTTGGTGCAAAAAGATTCCATAGTATTTTATGAGAGTACGTTTATAAAATCAATCAAAGTATGAGTCGAACTTTGGTTGAGAATCTTCCCAGAGTGAAGAAGATGCCTCGAAAATGAGTGTTTCGTGAGCCATATTTATATTCGTAGAAAATTCAAGTTGTAAAAGAAGATAGCTCGTCGTAACCACCTAGTAACCTATGAAAAATTGAGTATGACGCCGAACAAAAGAGATCAGGCTTTCCAGATCATCGGCAATAAGGAGAGAATATGGATATCGATCGGGATTTGAATAGAATGGAGAGATTTTTACCGTCGCCGCGTCTAGTCGGATTCCATAAAATCCGAGAAGGTCCCGATATTCAGACTTCCGAGAGCATACTAGAATCTCAATTAAGATTTAAAGTGGTGGGATGAAATGAATTTCCATATTCCCAGCTGAGAATCGAAAAATATTTCTTGTATGACGAATAATCTACTGAGTGGTTTTCGTCTAATCTCAAACAATATGAAAAATTATACACAATTGCAATTATATCAGAGAGTTGTATGTACACTATACTATACAAGGTGTTTCAGATTTAGTAGTCATTTTCATTGTGGTGTATACCATATTTCACGTGTATCACCCATCAAAACTTGATAGAAATCGGAATCAGAATTCATGTTCGACTTCAGGGGAAACAGATAACTTCTTTCATTTTAGAAACATTCCCAGAATAGCAAATTTCGGTAGATCTGTTTCGATATATGAAAAAAACGATTGAAAAAATAATGGAATGTTTCACTCCTCACTAGTGATTATCCAATTTTTTAATTTAGTTCAAATTTGAGGATTTTTTATTGACCTCGTGATGGAGAAACCATTTTGAATACAAAAAATATCTAGTCTTCAAATTTCAATTTCATTCAAGTCAAATGATAGGTACATTAAAAATCGAAAGATTCGTTCGTTCATGGAATAACTTGTCAATTATTTTAGAGGCATTGCGAGAAATTCCAGAATCCTGACAATTTATAAGCGCCAGTGTGATATTATTGATCAGTTGGTGCTTGTATTGTGTTCAGAATAAAGATATTATCATGAACACTTCGAAATATACAGTGTGACCCACTTAAGACCGGAGCACCCTTATAAAATCGATAGTTTTTAACCGATTTTTATTTAATGAATATTTCAGACAAATTCTGAGAAGCGGCAACATTGTCAACACAAATTCTTGGAAATTATTGGAATTTCTGGTATATATTTGAATTGATAACACAAATTATTATCGAGTTATAACATCTAAAATGGAATTTATCTTGGTATTCATGAAAAGATTCATAAAATGAAAAATCCATAACGTCGAAAAATTGGCTTCTCAAAATTATCATCATCAACCAAGAATTTTGGTATCAAATAATAACTTCATCTTAATTTCATCATTTCCAAATTTTCTACCAGCCATCGTACAAATAAGTTCAATAATATACATCATTGAATAATCTCGGTCCATAACTATCTAGCCCTAATAAATACATTTCAAATTTTTTTTTATTTCACTAAACCACCATTCAATTGAATACAATTTTCATATCTATTTTTCACAGTATTTTTGGGTCCTTCGGGTGTTCCTTCCCTACAAGCTTGACGTATTCTTTCACGAGGGTTTTGTAAACTTTTTGTGCAAGAAAACCCCATAAGAAGAAGTCAAAGGGGGTTAAATCGGGGGACCTGGGTGGTCATCCAATTAATTCACTTCCTCGACCAATCCAGCGACGAGAAAACTGTTCATTCAACCATTGTCTGATAATCCTAGCATGATGCACTGGGCAGCCATCTAATTGAAAATGTAGATCATTCCGAAAGGGTACCATTCTAGAGATTATAACTCGATAATGATTTGTGTTATCAATTCAAATGTATATCAGAAACATCAATGATTTCCAACATTTTTGTTGACAATGTTGCCGCTTCTCAGAATTTGTCAGAAATATTCATACAAAATGGTGAGCAATCAAAATTATTGTTGTTATAACTTTGTTGCCAATTTGTTCCAGTCAACTTAATTGAAGGATGCTGAATTCAGTGGTGTGGTCGATTTTTTTGGAAAAAAATCGCTTATGATATTTCGCAATTTTTAACATAAAAAAAATAACATGGTATCCCCTGTAGATTGAATTTTTTTTGCAAATTTGTGTAAACGTAGATCTCCGGATAGTCCTTTTGCTGAAACAATAAAAAATAAATCGGTTTAAAACTATAGATTTTATAAAGGTGCTCAGGTCTTAAGTGGGTCACACTGTATATCGACACAATACAAGCAACAAAAGTTATCTCAACATTACCATCTGACAATAATGATTACGAACTGTGGAATATTTTGGAACTCCGACTTCACCAAAAGACCACAGCTAATGAATGAATAGTGAAGAATGCAATGCAATATCTGAAATAATTGACAAGTTATTTTATCAACGAAGGAATCTCTCGATTTGACCATAATGAAGTAAAAATTTTGAGACTTGTATTTTTTTCTATCCAAATTAGATGTTCAATCTAGATGCCTCACAATCGTGAATCGAGCTATTAAAACAAATTATTTTGAGACCATCGGATACGATAAGATTATTTCATTCGTTTTTTTTCGCTCCTCTCGGGTATGTTTTTGAAACAGAAGAAGTTGTCTGTTTTTTCTAAAGATGGACCTCGATTCTGATCAAGGTTTCAGTGTAGTTTTGATGAGTTATATCAGTGAACTATACCAACCGAATATGAGAAGACTATACAAAGTGGTTTAAAAGTTATGACCACATGAAGATTTTACGTAAATATGATAACGTCCTGTATCTCAGTTATGAAAGATGGTAGATACACCAATACAGGGTGCTTTGAAATCACCAAAGTGTCCCACCAAAGAAGCATTCTTTATAGTAGAACAGGATGAATAGGCTAATATTAGAGGCTAATATTAGAGGTATGCTTTCCTGAACGGTTCTGTTGAAACAGCTGAAAAAATGATTGAATAATATTGCATAGGATTCAATTCATTCATGTCCTAATCAGACAGGTACTACTCAAAACGGGTTGACACATAGATCACGTCATCTAAGAATGAAAGTATTTTTATATTTGCTCAGGGGTTGGTTGGTCAAGCTGTTCAATAACTCATGGAGTTATTATCACCAAGTTATAACAAAAATGTCATATATCATGAGTCAAACAATCATAAAGGTCCAAAATGTCTAAGGCAAGACTCCAGTTTTGTTATCTATAATTCAATGATAGCCAATAAAAAAATAGCAACTATATACTTGTATTCAGAGTATCTCTGACAGATAACTTACCAATAAAACAAAATGACCTTGATGCGCTTCAATGTTCATTAGAAAAAACTACTAGAAGGGTGTATAAAATTAATCGCCCTGTATATTTGATATCGAAGTTATCATCAGAGAATCATCTACATTACCATTTTAGGTAATCTAAGTGGCCAATTAATTTTTTTATTGGCAGCAAGTATCTAATCTATTTAACGAAATTGTTTCAAAGCTGTTACAAGAGAAGAGTAATGGTGGTATCTTAGTATGTGCAGGAGACACATAATTCAAAGTCTCACTAAACTCATAGCCAGTGATTTTAATGAAAACGCCCAATCCTTGATCCACAGTTAGCAGAGTATTTCCAAATATCTTCAATCAAAAACTGTAATAAGTGATTTCCTGGAAGCATCATTGATCAATCTCTCATCAATGAAAAAATGCTTTGGTTCTTTCTGGAACAGTTAGAACTGCAAATAACACGGTGTAAATAAACGAATCGCAAACAATATCTGATGATCGAACATATGAATGGTCAAAACATAAATTTTCATGAAGCAGGATTCATTGCATTCTTCATGAGTATAAACAACTTCATAAAATAACTGAAGCTAGTGGTATTCTAAAATGTATATAGCAGCGAAGAAATATTGAATTATATTTTGGTGTATTCTATCGACTCCATCTATGATTATTTTTGTTTTGGTGTTGTCACCCTGTTGTTACAAAGATTCTGATTAATGCGTATTGGTTAGCCGAGTTGCAGTGATGCGAGGCCAGGTGGTGACACCCCAAGGATTAGGCATCGTCGGCATCAGAGTGTCGGTTGACAGGGAGTCAAGATTCGGATTCACCCTTACCAGGCAAGGGGGATGGTGAGTACACGATTTTAGTCCATTATTTTCATTCTTCACATTCAAGTACCTATCCAGAAATGATTAATGCACCATTCAACTCAACTAAGAACCGCATTTTTCATCCTTCATACCCTTCATATGAATATTTAGTTTAATCCATGGTGAAAATATTGTATGGTGTACTACCACGTATGCCTGCACTGAGATGCATTCAAAATATTCCTACCATTTGGACTGAAATGAGAGTCAATACAATAATACTAACCTGAAAACAATTCATATCAGTGCAGGAATGTTTTAATTATTTCTGTGAGTTTAGAACGTCATTTTTCAGAAACTGTTTATCAAAAATAAAAAACTAGGGTAGGACTTGAACGCCCTTCTAAATATGAGGTTCTAAGGGTTACATCTACCCCTCCTATGATCCAAGAGAGCTTGATCTAATCATTTTAATTGCCCCCTTTGAAAATGAAATCGACACGTTCTTTCGACTTTCCATATTATTCTTTGGACGGCAGATATTTAGGGTGGAAAGTTATCAAAATTTCACTCTGTATGTGAATAAAGCCTCGGGATTGGGAGACATCAGCGCTAGAATAGAAAAGTGGCATGGTGTCCGCATAGGTACAATACTGACATAAATCACCAGTCAGCTTGAATGCTGAATAGTACTCCCATCGAACTATTTTTAGTCCATTTCCGAATATCCGTCAGGTCACAATTCCAGGTTCCTTGAATACTTTTTTGGGTTCCTTTCAATCGTCCTACTCTCAAAATGCGTGAGAAATCGTGAAAGAGTAACATGATCACGAGTGAAAGAGCGTGAATGATTTATAAGTGAGCTCCAAAAACCATGACGCATATGTATATGTAGACTTCAGCGCTAGAAAAGTGGCATGATGTCCTCATGAATATACTAATGACCTAAATCACCAGTCATCCTGAATGCTGAATAGTTATCCCATCGAATTATTCGGAATAGCTCAAGACATCATATTTTAACGCTATCTCAGAACTGGACTGAATATTCGTCCGGTCACTATTTTAGGTTCCTTGAATACTTTTTCGGCTTCCTTCTAATCATCTTCCTCTCAAAATGCGTCTATGAATCATTATGGAGAGTGGGAAATCGTGAACGAGTAACGTAAACAAAAGTGAAAGAGCATGAGGGTCTTATAAATAAGCTCCAAGTCCATGAGGCATATGTATATGTAAATAAAGCCTCGGGATTGCGAGACCTCAGCGGTAGAATCGATTTATACATTCATTTATTTATTTATAAATTTTATTGAAAGAAATGATATTTTGAGTGGAAACCAACATGGTTTTCAAGCGGGAAAATCAACTTCCTCAGCGCTATTATAATTGTTCAACACACTCATTGAATCCATTGAGTCAGGGCGTTCGACTGCGTCAATCATACAAAGCTACTATCGTCTCTCGAAAACTATGGTATAAGGGGGATGACCTCAAATTGGATATCTTCTTTTCTGTCTTGTTACAACATTTTAATGATGATGGAATGTCAAAAAATGACTCAGAATCTATTTCTACTGATATGGGTGTACCCCAAGGGTCCATTTTAGGACCAATACTATTTATATTATACGTCAATCAAATTGACTCTGTTCTTGACACGCTTATACAGATGATTTCTCTCTGATTGTATCTGCACCTGATTGGTTATCTACGATCGAAGAGCATCAAGCTACTTCAGTGATAACGATTTATAAATTTAGGCATTAACTTCGATGAGTGGCTTGACTGGAAACCTCAATGTTTTCCGTTCATTTCGAAATCGTGTCCCCTGACATATATTTCCATGAATCTACGTTTTCTGCTCGAAGAAAATCGGTTATTGACTTTATATCATGCTCAGGTGGATTCCAGACTGAGGTATATGGTGTGTGTCTCTGGGGCCACTCCACAATGGCAAAAAATGTGTTGATCACCCAAAAACGTATTATTCAATGTATAGGTGGGGGGTCAAGGAGGCAATCATGCAAGAATATCTGTTTGTTCAGTATGACATTCTACTATTGCCAGGCATTTTAATTCTTGAAACATGTGTATATGTATTTCAAAACGATCATAATTTCGTAGTTAATAAGAATATTCATAATATCAATACTAGAAGTAAAAACTCATTTTATATACCGTATGCCGAATATCTGTTGCTCCAAACCATATAGGACCAAAAATGTTCAACCAACTACTTGATATGTTTCGAAAAATATTTTATACATTTCCTTGTTCAAACGAAAACTAAGATGTTTTTTACTTGAAAAATGCTTTTACAGTGTAGGAGAATTTTTCTCCTCGTGAGTCTTCTGACTTTGACATTAACTATTCCTATATAATACTTGTATTATCTGAAGGAAAATATGTGATTATTATTATTATCAGAAAAGTGGCGTGGAATCCGCATAGGTACACTACTGACATAAATCACCAGTCAGCCGGAATTCTGAATAGTTTTCCCCGATTGAACTATTCGGAATAGCTGAAGACATCCTGTTTCATGTAGCGCACACGGGGGGCAACAACTCCTTTACATAACATCAATTACGGAAGTTTGCGCCGCGCCCTAAATCGCCTCATTTCAGTATAGTGTCCTCATAGGAAATCAGTTACCGAACAGTCGGATGAACTTTTAGATTTAGTTGGAAACTTGGGAATGGGTTTGCGCTGCACCGAACACGGACGGTGTTTATTCCGCGGATATATCCGTTTGTTGATGGCAGACGATTTTCAGGATACGGAGTAGACGGAATATAGTCAGGTCGTTGGGAATTTCGATATTACAGAGTTGAATCAATGGATGCTCCTCTATTTTTATCTTGGATATTATTTGTTAGATTATATATCATTCACTCGATAACAACTCCATCAAGAAAAAAGAAATATCCAGGAAAACGGAACTTTCATTTTATAAGACCATCTTCAAACCAGTATATTGACATACGAATATGAAAGCTGTACTCTTACAGAAAGCGAAATACAAGCAATACAAACTTCCTGAGGAGTATATTGAATACAGCAACAACCACAGATAAAATCCCAATTGTACACAAATCAAGAGTATACAAAGTAACTTGTTCGGAACCCAATTGCAGTGCTCAATAAATCGCTCAAAGTGGCAGAAGAATTATTACTAGAGTAAGTGAGCACAAAAACTTATTGAGAAATCGAGAATTCGGCACCTAGATGAGTATAGCAAAAACAACTCCTTTGCTGATCATGTTTTGGTTTCCCAACACAGTTTGAATATTGAAGGAAATTTGGAAGTTTTACAGATTTGTGAAAGGACATTTACTAGAGAGATCCTCATTGAAGATTGATAATTCTATTTCGGTTAATGAATAGGTAAACTTTGACTGCATACAATTTTCCAGTTCACTAAAATTTGTTTGAGATTTAGATCCTTCCTTCTCCCTTGTTCCTCCATTGTTAATAACTTGCTTTCAACACAACTCAAATTTTCTCATTATGTAATTTTTTCACTCAACCAGCCCATGTCTGTTTGAAAAATAATTCAATTGCTTTATTTTACCAGTCATCTCTGTCTTGTTGACATCTTGTCATCTGGAAGTTTGACGTTTAATCTCATGATTTTTCGATTTTTCAGTGACAGCTAACCTATAGTGCACTCAAGTCTCACTCATGTGGGTTTCTCTAAATTTTGTCAATCTTTCGATTTTTCACTCCAAGAAAACCTCCTGAGGACCCTCTTAAAATAAAAATACCTGTTTCCATTTTATAATTTTACTACGTTTACTATTTAAATCAAATAAGATTCAACAACTTCGAAGAACATTTTTCATCCTCATGTAATTGAGTAATATTATCTAGTACCATATTCCTTTTACAAGTTTAGACTATTGTAGGACGTTATAAACCTTGCCTGATAATGGGCTTATTATAATCCCGGAATATGTCCCTATATGCAACATAACTTTGTTCACCTATTAAATGTCATGGAGATGATTTTGAGATTTATTCTTCCTTCAAATACTACCACTCCACTTTGAGCAATAAGGACTTCTTCACACGTTTGAAATGAGACAGAATAAGAAATGAAATAGTGAGAGAAGAACTAGAGGTAGAACCCATAACAGAAACCGATAAAAAGGCAACAGCTTAGGTGGATCGGTCATTTGCTGAGAATGGTGGAAGTACTTCTTTCCTCACTTGTTAGGTAAAAAAATATAGTTGAGAGTTGTTCGACAGATTTCAAGAATTATGTAAAGGGGAATATGAGTTGCCTGAGCTTGTCAAGCATGTCTGACTGGTAATGGCTTCACTTACTTTGTCATAAAAGTTAACCCTTAGGTACTGATCGATATCAGTTCTCATCTATCTAGTTTGAAAATACGATTGTCCTTTCACAATTATCCCAACTGTTTCACCATGTACATGTACATGAAATTTGATGAAACTGTGCAAGAATGAAAAATGAAATGATATCTCATATGATTTTTGGATTTTGGCGACTGAATTGTAGTACAAAAAAAATATAGATATCTGAATCGTTTTTTTACTCTAGTACACTCGAAGCGAATAGGTACTTATAGTATATTCCATTCCATTCCATGATCACCCTGAATACATTTATATCGAGTAGCTATCGCGGAATTGAAATGGACCATCATATAGTTTCCCAAATAGGTATATCTGATCTGAAAATATTCATATTTCATGTTTTCAATGAAAAATGTATACATGCCAATATTTCATAAATCGAGTTCCAAAATGAATTTAGAGAGAATGGAATCAGTTGACGATCGAATTTATTCAATTAATTATCTTTATAAATTTTCCATTCCAAATTTTTCATCGCTACATAATATGCTCATAAAACTCGATTTAAGCTAATTGAAAAATAAATAAATTTGCTTTCGATACAAGGTGTTCAGTAGGATAATCATAAATTCCATTCAGTTGGCCATTTGCTTGGTTGGTGATACCACAATCAGTAATTCCTTACAGATTGTTTTTTTTTTTTATAATTCAGAAAC